ATGTGCTGCTCATGGGACATGGGCCCTCAAGGCAATGCAATTTCGGGTTGTGAGGTAATCAGGATTTCTTAACTGACCACCTTGGTGAAAACACTGCCTGTTTCTCAGGCTTTACTTCCTCTAAATAGAAAGTATTCAAATGGGGACAGGGGGAGTTTTTTTTAAAGGCAACCAAGTCATGTCTCCATTAAAAACAAAAAGTTAATGTGCAATGGTTTCATCTAGCAAATCTTCATGTGGCTCCTGTATTATTTAAAAGATAGGTGGGTAGCTTGGCTATCCGTCTTTCAATGCACTGAGATTGCATCTCCGTGGAGTCTTCCACCTGAAAGATTATTTGGAAAGCCTCATGGTCGGCGTCTAACACCAGGTGCTCTTGTCGGGTTTTGCCCTGGTTTTGCTCGGTTTGCAAGATCAAATTGTGACACATTGAAATAATGACTTAGATAAAGGAGCATTGTCACAGAATTTTCCAGATGAAGGACCTGACCCTTCCCAGAGAACCTCAAATGATTTGTCAACATTCTTCTTTTATTTCTGCCTGTCTGACTTGTTGTTTTGCTGCTGAGCAAAAATGAGTCTAAGATTTTGCTCAACTACATATGGCTTTGCAGTACTGGAGGCGCGGCTTGGGTTCTGGGTGCTAGGTTAATGTCGTACTACCAAGTTACCCCCTTTTCCTGACTCTTCGTGTAAAATTAGAGCCCTGAGAGTGGAGTTTAGGGAGTATGTTTAGGATGAAATGGTATTTTGTAAAGAGGTGGGTAGTATCAAAGTTTAATTGTTTGCTCATGCCATTTTAGCAAATTGACAGCTGTATGTTTCTAGATAAAAACTCTTCCTTAGACTAATAGGGATGCTGTATGACTAGGAAAAGGGAGGCAAAGTGAAACAAATTGTACCTGTAACTCACCATCTAGTTCATATATTCAGTAATTGTTGGATCAAGTGTTAATTCTTTAACTACACATTTAAGCTTCTAGTTTTGCAGTAAAATCCCTGCTTTCTTTCCCAGTCTTATCTTAGAGCAGTGGTTCTCAATCTGTGGGCATGACCCTTTGGGGGATCAAAAAACTCTTTCACAAGGGGTTGAAAATTTTGGATGTTTACATTGTGATTGACAGCAGTAGCAAAATTGCAGTTCTGAAGTAGCAACAAAATAATTTTACGGTTGGGGGTCCCCACAACATGAGGAACTGTAGTAAAGGGTCGCAGCGTCAGGAAGATTGAGAACCACTGCTCTAAACAGTTACCCATCACAATTACTGTACTCCCAGAAGCATAGTTTGCTTGCCGTTTTCCTTCAAAATTGATTTTAACTTAAATATTTTAAGATTTTAGGAGAGAGATGGAGGAGAGGTAGACATTTGTGTGGTAGTCAGAGGTCGATGTCAAGTGTCACCCTCTACTTTCCACCTTAGTTTTGAGGCAAAATCTTTCATTGAATCTGGAGTGCACCAATTCTGCAAGGCTAACTGGTCATTAAAACTCCAGGTCCCAGGAGGGCACTAACCCCTAGAATTTCTCAGGATTTTTTTCAGTGTGGCCAGGAATAGAAAAAAAATCCAAAGTGAAGTAATGTCTTGCTGATAATTAGATTTTAAAGGCAGTTACATGAAAATATACCCAAATCAAGCTCAGGATGCTGCCTGTCCTTGACTTGAGTGACATGTTCAACCTGCCCAATTCTGTACACGGTTCTATATTTCTTCCTATGGGAAGAATACACTACCTCTCTTTCTCCCAAGTCAGATAGAACCTGACTGTATTCATCTTCATTCTCCAAGTACACAAACGTTCATAGAAGGAAAACAATCTAGCCATCAACTCGTACATTGGGCAAATATTATCCTTTGTGTTTCTTTTGGTACTGACGATTGTTGCCATAGCCTCATGCATGGTTGGCAATCACTGTACCACTGAGCTGCACCACCTGCCCAACAAACCACATTTAAATAGAACACAGTAAAGGGTGATATAGAAAGTATTATAGCATTTCTCATTTTTGATAATAAGATTTCTCACCATTTTCTGTGCTTTTGCCCATGCTATCTCTTGTCCACATACAATACTTTCCTGATTCATCAACAAATTCTAGATGTTGATTTATCCTCACCACTCAAGCTACCGTCCCTCTGCAACCTTCCTGGCATTCCCTGCCTCATCTAATGTCATTTCTGTCTAATTTGATCTGTCATATCTGAGCCTCCATGGCTCTTTATTTTAATGTTTTATGGGACCTACCATATTTTGTTTTGTACAATGTTATTTGAACATGTATTAAATTTTAAAATATCAGTGATTTAATTTTTATCTTCATATAATGTTACCAGTAATATATAATCTTATAGGTTAAAAATACTCTTTCTATATCAAGGTACTCATTGAAACGTTAATGCAAAGGCAAAAGGGGTTCTGGGCATTTAAAAAGCCCTAAAACTTCCAATCCCATGGGACTATAAATGTTTACTTTGCTTTTCTTTATTTTTGTTTTATTTTTTTTTAATTCCACTGTGTAGCTGAGGCTGGCCTAGAACTCCCTATGTAGCCTGGAATAGGCTCAAACTTAAGAAATGTCTGTCTCAGGCTCTTCATTGCTGGGATTATGGACAGGTGGCACCCTAGGAATCAACTATTTCTTCTCATATTTTCTTATAGTGTGTTTTTCTGTGCATTGATTTAATTTGATTGAGATGTTACACAGAAAATGTGTTTTATATGATAAAATTTTAAAAATATTCTTAAACAGTTAGTTTCTAAATATCACATGTCTGGCTCATATACTCTTAACACATGTATATTTACTTCATTACTATTGTTGATGTATAGTTTGTTTAGCTGCTTCTTAAATTTTCCAAATTAAATGACTGTTCCATGGAACTCTACGTGTGTGTGTGTGTGTGTGTGTGTGTGTGTGTTTTGTGTAGATATATAATGTATATTACAGCATAGGGCATGGTGCAGCTCATGAATATTCTACACAAGATAAGCTTCACAAAGCATTACTTTCTTCTGCCTTAGAAAGAGCATTTGGCATGATGGATTGAGAATTTGAGGCACTTGGTAGAATGTTTGCTCTTACCGCGCTGGAACCCCTGAGGAAGGAAAGCAGATTTCGACACACTGGTAACAGGATCAGCATACAGTTGAAATTCAGGCAGGCTGCAGGTGCCCTGGCCAGAGCCAGTGCTGACTAGAAGAGAGAGGATTGCGAGCAGAGAGACTTTGGTGAGCAGAATACCCATACTCCTCTTCCCTGGAGTCCCATCATGGAACTCCAAAAAGCTCCTTTAAGACATGTGAAATGAATTTCCTTCAGAGAGGAGGAGTTTTCTTGGGGTCCACTGACATGCTTTACTTTAACCTGAAGCTGCTTGTTTACTCCAACTGAACATTTTAAAGTTTCAAACCTGAAGAGAAGTGGAAATAAATTTACTTTGAGTTCTTTTTATCCACCTGCCGGACTAAACTTTTTAAATTTTAGCGTGTGTGCTCTATCATCTATCTAGCTTTACACCCCTTTCTCCATCAGAGGAGAATATCAGGTGTCCTCCTGTATTTCTATGGCGCTCTGCTTTATTCCCTTGAGACAAGGTCTCAGCTTGAACTAGGATCTCACTGTCTTTTGTCTAGTCTGGCATTCAGCAAGCTCTAGGGATCCTACTATCTCTACTATTCCCTTGCCCTTCCGGTGGTGGGGTTATAGGTGCCTGTGGCCACACTTGACTTTTTACATGGGAACTGGGGAACTGAACTCTTGGCCTCATGCTTGCGCAGCAAGAACTCCTATTCTTTGACACCCCTCCCATATAGTTGATACATTTTAAAGTAAGTTGCATGCATCAGTTTACTTTCTCCTAAATCTTTGAGCATGTAGACCATTAACATGAGGTCAGTATCAAAACTAGATCTTTGATTTTAAACAAAGTTCCCCTAGCATTTAGACCCTAAAAGTAACTTAAGCTAGTATGGTGTAATACTTGGGCAAAACTGGTTTAGCAATGTCTAAAGAAGTTGCCTATGATACAAGAACAGATCAGCACGAATACAGTAGAGACAATTTTAATAGTGTGAAATGATTGTTTGACAATACTTACACATATGATTATAACATATTATTAATGTAAGTAATATTTTCAGTATTATATAACAAATGATGTGCTCTGGGAGTGGCTGTAGTTCTAAGTATTTTAATTTGTGATGAAGACACCTGACAGTTCAAGGAAACAGATTACTTAGGGACTCATGGAAATTCAAGGACCTCCGCTCGCCTGGCCTACTAAAGTGACATAGTACACAAACAAGTTCCTGCAAGTCCCCAGATAATAGCTTGAAGTTGATTTTCTCAAGATCATTTCACATGTCATTAGGAGGAGGACTTCTCCATGTCAAAAATATGATATGAACCATTTAACTTAGAAAAAATACAGAAAATTTCAATTGTCACACCTGTGTCAAGCCTGTATGGGTGGCTCCCAGTAAGCTTTCCATTCTAGAGAGTCCTATGTTAAGCTTGGCACGTATTGGTAGAGAAGGATGCAGGTAGGACCCTCTACCATACTTCAGTTTGTTACACTGTCAGGCCTTAACTGATTCTTGCCAAAGAATTTGCAACTGGGGAGTGAAGCCGGTGATGTTGTCTTGGTTGGTCAGAATATTCATTCTAAATCTTAAAAGGAATAAATAAATACAAGCATATCTGCCTAGAAGTGTGAGCTGGCTGATATTGCATGAGGTGGAAGTTACTTACCCCGAGGAGTTTTCGAGTATAATAGTACTTAGGTCCATCATCATAAACCTTGTAGTAGTTGACAAAGAGGAAGACATTCAACCCCAACCACACCAGCTGCACAAACAGAAGAAGTAGGATGAGGTTTATGAACCTAAATAAGTAGATTCCACATGATACTGAAGTCAAATGAAGGACAGGACTTCCCCCACATTCAGGATTTGACAAAGGGGGTTATAAAGCTGAGCACAGTCAGCTTTGAGGCAGCTCTTTCAGATCCCCACGCCACCCAACTCTTCAGTCACTGCCTTCATCTTCCCTTGTTGTTTTGCCTAATTGCTTCACTACTTGGTGAGCAAGCGAAGTCAGTATCAGACTGCCTTGTCTCTTTTCATCTTAAGATCAAAGAGGTAACAATGGTTGATAGGTAAAGTGAGAATACATGGAAATTAGGTGTTGTTGCTGACCCTTGCTCGACCTGTAGGAAATTGAAGTCTCCTCTCCCAGATGCCCGTCGCCTACTTGCAGCACATACAGCTTACCATTCTATTTGGTAAGTTTTCCTTCGTTTTTAAAGGAGGGTATATTGAACATGGGCAAAGGGGTCAAGGTCATGGAATTTAAAACATAAACTTTTTTGATTTTAAGTTGGCATTTGATGCTAGCAACAACCTTATCAAGAGCTGATAGTGCCCAGTCTTCTACCTTCAGCTCCAAAGTGATTTTCTTTCAATATGAAATTACTAGCTATTATTAATACTAGTTATTAAATACCCATGGATGTTTCATAACAGTCTCTCTTTACAAAGAAGGCGCTACAGAAACTTTCTCTCTTGCCCTGTCACTCTCCCCAACTCTAAATTTCTAAACCATGCCTTTACTTTCAAATATATGCAGACACAACTTAAAAGATTACTTCCTGGGGAAACTGTAATTAGAATGAAAAATCTATTTCAACTTGTTTCTTAAGTGAATAATCTACTCTTAAAATGGTAGTAAGGACTCAGGACTCCAGTTTTAAATCCTGATGTTTCTATGTTGCATTGGAATGTTGGTTTGACATGAACTAACTTTCAATCAAATATTTGTTGTTTTAATTTTATTCATGCTACTTATTTATTTACATCTCTAAAACTCAAACACTCCATGCATTACATGGTGAATTTTTACAAAACTTCCATTCATAGGCGATTTTGATATCATGCTTCATTAACTGTTTGGCAAGCATAGATACCACATTTCTTCCAACTCAATTCATCTATAATTACTTTGCTGAGAACACTAACTTAAAAGTATAGACCAGAAATCAATGTGTAATTGAAAATTAGCCATAGCCTTATTTCCAAAATTGTTTCTCAAGATAGAATAATAGTTATATATAATTCAATATTATATACATACTTTATATGCACATAAATACATATAATATACATACCACATATATATGAGTCTAAATAATTTATTTCAATTCTTTCATCTAGATTTGTTGTAAAATTCACAAGTGACTACAGTTCAGACCTCTTAGGGAAAAATGTGCTTATTTTAAAAAGAAATTTGAGAACTTTGGTTATTTTGGTGCTATTACTGAAGTAAAGGTCTCTTTCCCATCAAAGAAATCTTTAAGAACAAATATTATTCAGAAAACAGTAAGGTTTTAATTGAACATTTTAAGTAGGTAACATAAAAAGTGAACAAATTTACCTCTGAGTAACTAAGAAAAAATATCTCAGAGATCTTTAGTATGATCTTCTAGTCTCTCTGTTAAATGCTGGTTAATTTCACAGTCTCAGTAACTCAGAAACAAACTGGGAGAAATAAGAGCTGTTGGTGCATAGTTTAAATTAAGAAGTTTGAAATGGAAGAATTAACTCAATCTGCTTACAAATTGATGCTTGTTCACAGTGTAAGTAAATTTCTTAAGCAAACAGTAGTAAGAAAACCCATTGTTATGCTCTATGTTAGCTCCCAAGAGAACCCCAACACATTAAAGAATTTTAATTTATCTCTTGTTGGTACTTACAATGACAAAGATGGAGAGTCCCTCATTCACGGCCCAGTTCCCCATGACAGCAAAGGTTGAATGTGCTGGGTCTGCCTTTCTTCTCTACTGTGCTTCTTCTTTGCATGAGGAAATGAAAACAGCATTGGGGCAATATGTTTCCTTTGCTATTATCAGAAATTAGCTAATCATTGGTCAACTGAAAGCCTGTTTCCATAACAAATTTAAATCTTTAAACCACATAAAAACTACAGAAAGAAAAATAGATCTTGTGATTCAATCACAAGTAACTACATTGGAAAATGAAATCAATTGCTACAACTGAAAGACTATTTGTCAAGTTTTTAAATTTGCTTTATCATTTATCAGATTTTTGTGCAGTTTATGAAGATATTATACACAGTGAATTACGCTTTTTTAAACTAACTAGTTTTCTACTTGTAATTTTGAAGGTATCCACCTAACCATGGATAAAACGTGTAGGTGCTGGGTAAAACATACTGAACACATGTGACATCTTCTGACAGACTCTTATGCAGTATTTATCCTCACTGGGTAAAATAAAAAGAGTGATAGATGATGCTTATAGAGTGCTAACCATGTTTCAATTTTCTATCATAAAGTAGATATAGGCCTATATTGTGTACATATATTTGTGAATTGAAACATACATATTAATACATATGCATGCATACACAGAAAAATACTTGTGCCCACATATACATCAATTCAGTTGATTCTCACAGCTCAATCCCTATAAAGTAGGTTCTAATTTATGATTACATTTACAGATGTGAAAATCAAGACCAAGAGCAGTGAACTTATTTAAACCCAGTTACAGTGCCAAGGAATAATGCAGGCGGTCGTTTGAAGTCCAAACAACTGACATTACCTGTAAAGTAAGGTACTGGAAAAAAAAGTTTATGTTTACTATCTTTTATGTACAATTACCGTAATAATTTCCTGAATCAAAACGACCCTCCATCCTGACTTCAAAACAGTAGTTTTCAACCTGCCTAATGCTGCGATCCTTTAATACAGTTCCTCCTATTGTGGTGACCCCAAATCATAAAATAATTTTGCTGTTACTTCATAACCATAATTTTGCTGCTGTTATGAATTGTTATATAAATATTTGTTTTCTGATAATGTTAGGTGACCTCTGTGAAAATGTTATTTGACCCCCGCAAAAGGGTCACGGCACAAAGGTTGAGAGAAACTGCTTTAGAGGAAAAAAATCCCTCATGTCATCGTCATTTCCTCTCATCCTGGTCTTCTTGTTTTGTCAGAAGTATGGATTTCTGCTGCACATTATACTGCTTTAAAAGCAAAAAAAAAAAAAGATTAAATTTGTCAGCGCCACCTTAAATCACTCCACATAGGAATACAGGAAAGGAAACTGTAGTAAAAATACCAAAATATTTAGGTGACAAACATGTTTCCAGGCAGACATTCTCTATGCTAAGTTGGTAGACATAGATCTAAGGTGTGTCAGTGTTTGGTAGACGCTAAAGCTAGCTGTAGCACAACGACATCCGGCCACTATTCTGCCTTCCAGACGTGAGACAGATTAGGATGGTAAGCTGACCATGTGATGAAAGTACAAGGGTGGCTGCACAGCTAATAGAGAAGTTGAAGAAACAAGCTTGAGCACAAGGACCGAGCTACAAACTCTCTCCGTTGCTGTCTACTAAACACACAACCTCTGGGACCGTGGGAATTAGCAAAGCAGTTTTTCCCCCCACCACACGATATTTAAAGAAAGATATTGTGACATTCTCCTTGGTAATCAGAACATGTATAACACACATAAAGGCCAAATGACCTCCTGGGTTCATTCCCAAAATAGATAAATTCAAAGACTGGTTAGGAAATCAGAACATTGACAAGCTATATGCTTTGCTGTTTGCTGATCTGTTTGCCTACCCTCTCTCCAAGAACTGCTGGATTTCACAGAGTATTACATTTGTCAGCCAGCTTAGATTGATGGCTTCCGGTTGGTTTCGCTAAACTGGAGTAGAGGAGAAGCCACAATGGTTCTCACCGCAGAATTTTGCTTCAAGAGACATTCACCAGGTTGGTGAATTGCCACTGGGCCTCCAGCTTCCCCTAATGTGCCCTCCCTTCAATGTCATGAACACCTGCTAGTCACTAGTATTGTAGGGCTCCATGTTGCCAGATGGCCCTGGCTGCTGTGCGGGGGTGGGAGATTAGACAACCTCCTCCCAGTTCCTCTAACTGAGAGGTAACCACTTCCTGTAGTTATTCTTTTTTATGTTGCCTTTTGTCCCTTTTGGGATTCTCCACTTTTCCATCACCCATGCAACACTTTCCTGGTGTGAAAGTCCCTCTGTTGAAATATTGTGGTTTCTGTTTTTTCATTGGACTTCGAAACAAAGTAATTTAGTTTGAATACTTTTTCATGTAACTAAGGAAGTTAATCTTATATGCCTAAAGAACAATAAAACACCAGAAAGATGAATTCTCTTTCTCTTCTTCGCTCTCAGATTCCTTCATAAGGATGACAGCCAGTCCTTCAAGCTATTCAAAATTCGTCAAGGTCTCCGCTTCTGTTACTTTCCCCTCTTTCTCTCTTCCTGCCTAATGGTTCATCTTTCCTATTGGAAACTTTTACATTTCCCCCACTGTTTTTCATGTGCTTTCTGACGCCTGTGCTCTACTGCAGAAAACGTGAGCGTGCCGTGAACATTCACGTGCTAAGAAACAACATTTTCTATTTTTTATAAACATCCTGCTTGGCTATTTCCCCCTCCTTTTCCTTCCCTCTAAAAGTTCAGAAGAAGATTCAGAGAAGGAAGCATTTTTGCCACAGATAAGCAACCATTCCCTTCTGTTGATTTTCCCCGTCATGAAAGTAATCACGACATTCTGTAGCATCTTCATGAGTCTTAAGAGTCTCAATCAGTTTCACAGCTGGAGAAGATCACTTGCAATGAAAAGTAAAATCTTTCTTCCGTGGAAAATAATGTCCCTTTTGAGAAGACTTTAAGAAAACTGCAATGTGCACTGCCCTTGGAAACAGAGGTGGAAAGGGTGATAAAGGAGCATCGGGATTAGCTGTGTAGTACTGATTACACACAGCCAGGGAAAACACTCAAAGCTCTGTATTAGCTAATGGGTATTAGCTAAGGGCTCATCTTGTCCCAGTCCCTTCAGCTGCCGCTGTCTCTTGAGCTGTCGGCATTCAGTGAGACTGTGGAAAACTTAGCATGAACTCACAAGCCCTTGAGACAGAGGAGAGAGGCAGCCCCAAGTTTCAGAATATTCCCCGATTTCACTTCTTGAATGTGATTCTGTTTTCTGTCTTGATAGCTCAATCGGCAAATTATATTTCCCCAAATTCAAGAAGGAAAATTGCTATAGAAAGGGAGATATGTAACTACATCAAATGTCCTGACGAATTTTGTTCTGAGTCCTGATGAAAGTGTGCTTTTCTTCTTTTGTAGCTAGTTTGCGTTTGCTAGACTTTCCAGAATTGTCGTGTTTAGCTAAATTTGAAAGTATGGGTGATGTGGTCCCACATTCTTTGCCTAAGGTTTACTACCAAGAAGTCCCCTTGGACACAGTGATTGTTCTAGGCGTGGGCTCTTGATATAAACAAGACCAATCATTGTTTCTGCATCCTCTAGAGGAACAAAATTAAAGCGTTTTTCTCTTCCTGTTTGTCAGTGATGTATGCCTTGCGTGGCCACAGTCTGTCTCTACTGTTATGTACTCATAAGTCTGGATAAGAATTCTACCCAGACATGGAGGAATAGAGTTAGAAGTGACCGGGAAGCCTCCTCCCTGAGGAGCAGCTCTCACAGATCAGAAGGTGCTACGAAGCTTCCAAGGGAGAAGTCCTACCCAGATGTAAAACTTACAAACCATAGCAATGACTGGCCAGGCAATTGTGGCACTTTAATCTTTAATCTTTGGGGTAGTCAATAGCTGTCTAAATGGACTAAAGGCATGCTCATTAGGAGGGAATTCATGCCTGGTACAACGAACCTAGGTAACTGCTAGTGACTGGGACAGTCACAGACCATAGAGGAGAACCTAATACTGCCATTTTCCTGACCCAGTACAATTTATAACTGTATTCGAATCATTTATTCTTATACCCACACCAAAGAAACTTCTTTTTGCAGCAATGGCTACTATGGAGATCCACAACTGGTCAAAGCTTAGAGAATAAGGGACTGTGGGACACTGTTCTGTTTGCTTTCTGTTCCCGTGATAAACACTAGGACCAAAAGCAACATAGGTTTATTGCATCTTACAACTCCCAGGCCCTATGACATCATTGAAAAAGTCAGCACCAGAATTTAAAGCAGGAACCTGGAAGCAGGAACTGAAATAGAGACCATGAAGGAGTGCTGTTTACTGGCTCGCTCCTCATCGCTTACTAAACCTGCTTTCTTTTTTTTTTCATGTCAGTATTTTTGTTTGTTTGGTTGGTTGGTTTGATTATTTATTTATTTATAAAAATTTGTACTTCCTCCCCTCC